AGCATACTGAGCATCTTTCTCTTTGACACCATGTCTGAAATCCCACGTGATCTGTCAAATACTAATGCATGAAAATCCTAACCTCAAAAAAATCACCCGTTATGAACATACATACATACATACTGGTAGGCGTACACACAAACTAACATACCAACAAGACTAAAAGCACCCCTATGTACATACATACAGGCGTACATACGCATACGCGATGCTGGCATGGAAAGCACATGCAGATTTCACAAACAGCAACTTGGATACTCATGCGCACCAACAGATGGAAGAAGTTCACTGCGCAAAAGCCATAACACGGAATAAGCCCATTCACTTCTCAAACGGTTCATACAAAACCAGAGCTAAAGCTGCCAGCATGAGCTAACCAGCATCAGTTGTCCGTAGGTAAGCACGGAGCGCAGCCTGGGCTTCGCGCCTATTTGGGGCGCTCTTGGCTTTCCTCCTCGGAGGAAACTGATTGGTTGAGGGGGCTGCAAGGGGGGGAATACCCCTCAAGCAACACCCCAAAACCATTATGGGCTAGACCCATTTTTGGTTACGGTCTCAAGCAGACAGGGGGCAGATCCGTTTGGGCGTGCCCAATTCCGAACACCCCTGCCTGCTTGCGATACCGCGCGGCCAGCGGGCGCTGGAGGGGAGGGAACACCTCCCTACAGCGCCTAGCGGCCGCGAATACATACGGGGGGACTGGGCAACCTTTCGATGCCCTGGGGGAACATACTAATCATCAGTTGTCCGTAGGTATCAACAAACCTGACCGCCAGCACCGCTACCGCCCGAGGCCGACATTTCACGAGGACCGCCCGCTATTCACTGCCATCCAGGGCCGCCGCTATAATCATCGTCAACGTTAGGGCCCGTACCGCCGCTCAATCACCGGGGGCCGCTCCTATTACGGCCGCCCTAAGGCCGACAATTCTATCGAGGACCGCCCGCTATTCTCTGCCATCCAGGGCCGCCGCTATAATCATCGTCAACGTTAGGGCCCGTACCGCCGCTCTAATCACCGGGGGCCGCTACTATTACGGCCGCCCTAAGGCCGACAATTCTATCGAGGACCGCCCGCTATTCACTGCCATCCAGGGCCGCCGCTATAATCATCGTCACCGTTAGGGCCGTGCCGCTGCACTCATCACCGGGGCCGCTATTACACTGCCGCCCCAAGGCCGAAGCTACAACCGTGGGCCGCCCTCCATCATCACCGAGGACCGCGAACGCCAACTATCGCCAACCAGGGCCGCTGTCACCATTGCCACCATTAGGGCCCGCTGCTACTGTCTTCATTACTGGGGCCGCCGCCATTATCGTCGCCCCAGGCCGCCCACTACTGCCCGTCACGAGTACGGTAATCGCCACTACCATCATCGCCCAGTACTGCTGTCACCGTCGTAATTAAAAGGGGCCGCATTTACCCTTCGCCACCATCGGGGCCGCATACAACACCACTGCGGGAGGTCGCTGCCGCCCTCATCATTATATGGGCCACTGCCAACGTCACCGCTGAGGCCGCCACCACCACTGCAAGGGAACTGCAGGCTGCCGTCGCCGTCACAACCACCGCGACTGCTCTCATTGCCACGCTCTTCGCTACGACTGACACGTACCACTGCTAATCTCGCTGACACTAGTAACACTCCCGTCACCGTACAATTACCCGCCGGATAATCTCCGACACCGACTGCCGACTCTCGCTCTTTACCATCCGCTCTCCCCTGCACGACAAGTTGCCGGCCTTCTAGATAGCCGCGTGTGTGTGTGGGTGTGTTCGACTTAATACACAAATCATTGTGTTTTATTTGGTGGGAGTTAGTGGGACCTTCGCTGGACTCTGGAGCGGCTGAGCATACCTCAGCCTTCGACAAAACCCACCTCATATATTCATATTCGTATGTAAATGTATACCCTCAAACCAGGATTTCAGAGTATTCTGAAAGGTTTCACAATTTTTTTAACGATTTTCTTTAAGAAATCGTGCAGAATTTTCTTCACTAGTTCTTGTCAACCGCTTCATATGCTTTTCTTTAAAGATTCCTAAAATAATCGTAACAAATTTCCGATACTATTAAAGATTTCGGGGGCATTAGTTTGCAGGGTATATATTTACGTGTATGTGCATGTATACGCGGATATGTAAGCAAAGCAAAACAGGCGATAATTTGACACAAGCATGCTCATAAGAAGAAGCATGACTTCTATCGCTATCAGCGTTGCCACAGACACACTTTTTTTTTACCAAAATTTCCTTCCAAAACCAACCAAATCCTTCCAAAATTTTTTTTCAGTTTTAACATTTTTTTCCAATGCCAAATTTATTAAAAACATAGCTAACATAACATTTAGTAAAACTAAAACACAGCTAGTAAAATAAAAACAAATTAGTTGCGTATACCGATTCATTTTACTGTACATACATACATATCGTCATAAGATACGAATAAAGACGCGAGCTCAAAAGTTGACAGCGAAAAAAGACGCGTAAAAAAATTTCTGCGAAGAAGAACTCTTAACATAGGCGAGCGCAAAGAAAGACGCGTTAACCGAATTCCCCAAAAGAGTTTTTCTGGAATGATGTTGAATCCATGTTAACGCGTCTTTTTTCGCGAATTTTTTTTCACGCATCCTTTTTCGCCGTCAAAACACCCGAGCGTCTTTATTCGTGTCAAGTGACTATATTATTATTATTACTTCGGAAATACCCGCAATGCGACCTAAGAAGATATATTGTGCTAAATCCTAATTGTAATCGCCCCAATATTAGGCTATTTAAAAAGCTCAGCACTTTGGATGTTGCCATGTTCCAAATTTTAGATGGAGAAGATAATCCTTCCCCATGGTGCATCAATCTAGTATTCATGCTTCGTGGACAGGCACATAGAATATACTGTGGGGTTTCCTTCACCGGCCCACAAAACCTACAGTCAGTCTCTACAGAAAGACCCTTTAATTCAATCGGGACGTTAACTTGCAGTATGCTGTCAGGTAGCCAGTAAGAGTTTTAAGTTCAAGGTTTCTTTCGGAGTTCCTCCTCAAAAGTTATGAATCTCTTTGATTGTCTTATTCCCTTCGACTTCCGCCCTTCGAGAATTCCCAGCTAGCTCCTAAGTAGGTCTGCAGTGTATCCTTTAGATGTACCGCAAAAAGGCTCGGAACTATGCAAACGCCTATGGGCTCCACTCTTTGCAAGACAGTAGGGATGCGTATCGGCAATGAAAATTCGGTATATCGATATCGCGATATTCTAAACTCACAATATCCAATACCGATATAATAATAATAATAGATTACACATATGTTAGTGTTTGGCCGAGCTTTTCCTCCGATTTGTGGCGTGCGCCTTGGTGTTGTCACACAAAGCGGAGGGACCTACAGTTTTACGCTGACTCCGAACGGCGATTGTATTTTTATGAGAAGCTGTTTTGCCTGCCGATAGACGACCGCTGTTAAGAAAAAACCTTTTTCTATTTTTTTTGCGATGTTGCTTTGACCAGGGCTTGAACCCAGGCGTTGCGGAGTGGAAGCGGGCACTGCTTACCACTACACCATAGCGGCATAATATCGATATATTGAATATCGGAAATATCGAAAACGAAATGGTTAATAAAGATATATTGTTTATGAAACTACATATGTATACTTGGAATTAAAATGCAAATAAGCATAAATTAAAATAACGAAGTTACTTTGGATAAGTACCATATGTATGTATGTATTTCTAAAAGTGAAGTACAAATTTTGATATTTTTATGAATTTTTGCTTTTCATGCTTACTATGCCAAAAGCTGTTTTGCGAGAACAATAAATTTTTCCAACTAGTCAATTTTATTTTCAATTCAGAAGCCCAGAGTAGGTGAAGAAAAGTTTCCGATATTTCACATATCGAAACAAAATATTGTATCGATATCGTTACGCAACTCGTGATATCGATATAAATGAACCGATATGATGAGCAACGACATTGATATATTGAATATCGTATCGGTATCGCGCATCCCTACAAGACAGTCAGCCTTCAAACCCTTCATGTCCCTGACCCTCCACACCGGTGCGCTATTGTGGGCTCCCAGTTGTTTCAAGAGTTTACAAGCCTTGATGCCGTTTTAAAAGACTCTAAGGCTTCTAACGCTGCCTGAATATCTGACATAATATTTATCCTGGCCTCATTTGCCTTCTGCGATAAAATTCGCGAACACAGACTTCGATTGCGAAGGCCTCCTCCCAGGGATGATAAATGAGTTTTTTAATTTTGTACCAAATGACTAAAAAAAGTGTACTAAATAAGCCGAAAAAGTACCAACATTTAAAACACTATACATACATAGTTATATATACATATGTTTTTAGATTTGCTGTATAAAAATCATGATATAAAACATGGCGTGTCGAAGGTAGAAAACATAAGTGCAAATGAATTGTTTGAAAATACCACCAAAACGCCAAGTTAATCAACAAAAGTATACAAGTCATAATTATTAAGTTTTAGTAATACAAAAATTTTCAAAAAAAGCCGTTGCATTTAGCGGAATGGAAGTTTCACAAAAATATTTTGCAAAATATTTCCTTCTATAGAAATAAACAAGTTAATAGCAATGTTCTCGTACCTAAAATCTTGTGAAGTGGAGGAAATCGAGAGGGCAAACTGACACTGAGATCTGCCAATTTCTGCTGGAAAAAATTTTACCTGCGAAAACTTACAAGTAAAAATGTCTGCTGATCCCAAACATGTGTTCGTGAATAAACAAAAGAAATGAAGAAACATTTAGTTTAGTTAATTTGCTATTAATCTGTAATTTTCTAATTTTAGTGTGTCAACTATGGCTGCCGTATAAAATTTTTCAATTGTACCATATTTTTCTCAGAAATATACCAAAATAGATAATAATACTGAAATTTTCCGACCGAATTTGTCAGTTGATCGTTAAAACGAAAATGGGATAATTTTAAAGGCATATTTGTAGCTATATCTACTTAATTTTTGTGAAACAAGGATGGGCACTTGGAGGAGATTCTTTTATTTTTGAATGCGTCATGATGTGGCATCACAAATTTTGTTAGAAAAAAAACTTATTCATTCCGAGATAATTCAATTATATCTTAAAAACATTTTTCCTATACAAAAGTATTCAATAGTAAAAAAATTCCAAATCGGGGACAATGCACCAAGCGGATAATAAATTACCAAATGGACCAGCTACTGTGAAAGTGTTCAGCTGTTTCAAAGATTGCAAGTTATTTCAAATTTTGCAAACTGCTCAGAATTTTTGCTGCTGGATAATTTTGTGTGGAAAATACAAAAATACTCCTACCAAATTTAACTATCAGAAAGTCAGAATGGCGTAAGTTGCAAGTTTTTACTGGTTTTGCGTTCAATAACTTGTTCTGATAATTTAGTCTTCCCCTAAATTTTACTCGCTATGATTCTTTTATTCTCTCGCCGCTAGTACTTAGTGGAAAATTGTATTATTTTATAGACCTATTATGACAGCAACTTTTTTTGATTTAAAAAAGAGTTTCGTTTTTAATAACCACCACGTATTTACTTAAATAAGGTAGAAAAAGATTACAATATTTGTATGCACAAAAATTCAAATCTCCAAGTAAATAGAGTGTGGTATTTCGACATAATTGTGGTGCAGTACCGTATCTTGACAAAAATGTATCAAAAACGATGTAGTACCAATGTACTGTGGCGAATACTGCGGCAACACAAAGCGAACAACGAGAAATAGGCAGAATGTTCGAGGACTGACGTAGAATGTTCCACAAAGAGAAACGTCAAGTTGGATGAACACTGCGAACAGCGAGAGAAAGAGAATGAGCGATAAACTTCAGAACGTTCTAGAGTTGCCATAAGTGTGAGCGCAGGTATATAAGAGCCACGACACAGCGGAGTTGGGACAGTTACAAGTCAGCAAGCTACAAGTAAAGTGAGCGGAGAATCGAGTTGCGAATAAGCAAGCTATAAGTTTAATTGTGTTAACAAGTAGTAAAGCGTTGTTATTGCTTTAACAAGTATTGTAAAGTGTTTTTACTGTATTAGCAAGTATTGTAAATTGTTTGTTGTACAATAAAGTTAATTGTACTACAATTCGGTCATCGTTAGCATTTATTTAACAATCCAGCGATACGAGCCCGAGTATATTTGGGTAATCCCTCAAGGTTTCGAGGATAATCGTAACAATACGTATAATTTTACGAGTTGGGAGACTTTACGTTCTCGTATTCTGACAATTGTTTAGATTAACCTAAGCAGAAACTAAAAAATCACAACCTGCACATATTTTCATTTTATTTTCCAAAGGCGGTGTTTTGCATTATCTTCCATACAAAGTATGTTCGAAGTTTTTTTTTTTATATGAAAGCAATTAGGCAACACAGTCCACAAAAACAAAATCGCCAAAAATCAACGGCAAGTGCCAGATACTTCAATCTTGCAATTTTATACAAAAATTTAATGGGCTAAAAAACTGCATACTTAAAATCTTTTTAAGAAATCTTTTTAAAAGGCTCGAAATTTTTAGGAATGTTTGTTGATTTTTTTAATATTGCACAAAGTTTTACATTGTTTTTATTTTTACGATTTTTGACAAAGAATAAACTATATTTAAAAAAATAAAATAAATTAAATAACAAAGCAAACATTGTTGTATTGCGCTTATAATTCTGACACGGGGTGTATAACGCATGGTATACTACTTTGCATGTTTTTATTTATTCTTCCCCTTCGTTTTTAGTTTTCTTGATTGTATCCGCACTGAATTGAAGGCACAAGTTTCCACATTTTAAGAAGAAATGTATCCTTAAATAAAACATTCAGTTTTTATAACTAATGTAAATGGTTTTTACTAACTTTCCACTTTAATGGAAACGAC